TATCATGTAGTTTAGACTCTTACGATAAGGAGTGTTTATATTTCATATGCTCTCATTTTCATTACAACTTTCATCACATCCTCCATTTTTAGGATTGGTTGAGATGATGAGCTTTTGTTTTACTTTAAAGGAACCTTCTGTATTTATGAGAAGAGAGAATTTTCTCTTCATACGGGAAGGAACAATGCTGTGAATTTTCTTGTCATCATTCACTTCAGCAAATGATTTCGCCTTCAGGGTCTTCATCGTTTTTTCAAATTGATCGCCTATCACTTCTGAACAATCAAAAGCAGATGTCGAAGATTGATTTTTCTTTGACGTGGAGACGCTTAGCCTTTGAAAGACTGAAGGTTGAATGGAGATGGAAATAAAACATTGATTTTCTTCTTTTGTTGTGGCCATACTCATCCTCTGAAAGACCGAAGGTCGAGTAGTTGAAGGCTTGATACGATCGAAGACAGAAGCCCTTTGCCCAGTTATTTTAAAGTTGTCAACCTCTTCCACATTTATGTAATGTGAACTTGCAAGATTTTCTTTCTTCTTTTTGATATAGAAGAATTTTTTTGGGAAAAATTCTTTTAAGGTCGCTGATATCTTGGGTCGAAAGGAGTCTTTATTTTCTTTCCTCTCTGATTTAGGCTTCCTTGAATCCTTCTTTCCTTGGTGTTCATGCTCTTTGCTGAGCATAGATGACTTATTCCAAGCAAAACTTTGTTTTTGTTTCTTCTGACGAGTCACAGTAGCCCAGTTTTCCTCTCCCTGATCGACAGATTTGACAACATCTTTAATGGCATTTCTTGAAGTCTTCCGTTGAGAGCGAACAGATATGGGCTTCAACGTTCCAAATTAGATCAAGTTTATCCCCTTATTGTAGAATAGACTTTGAGGTGTTTGGCTGCCTATATTTGTTGTTACTGCAGCGTGATTTGATTGAGCTATTTCATTGAAATCCAACTCAATCTTTCCTTCTCGAGCTAAATTTAGGATACGCTCTTTTAGGACAAAACACTTTTCCACTGGATGACTGATAACTCGGTGGTACTTGCAATATTTGGGATCATCAACTTTACTCATTTCTTCTGGTCGTATACACTCTGGAAGTACAATCAATCGTGTTTCCAGCAATTGTTCCAACATATAAGGGATGTCGGAATTAGGAAAAGGATAGACTTTTTCTTGCCTTTCTTTCAAGCTTAGCCATATTTTCCTATTTCCTTTTTGCTTCTCAATTCTCTTCCCTTTTATTTTTGAAAACAACTTGGGAGAGATTGTGTTTACACCAAAAAATTCATTTGAAGTTTTCTCAACACTTTTGCTTTCTTTCTCTAAGTCCAGCACTAAAGAATCCTTACTTCCTCGATTAGCAATGCTTAGCTCCATATCGTGAGCACGAGTTGCTAGCTCTTCAAAGGTGCGAGGTTTTATACGTTGAAGGATGTAAAGAAGTTCCCAATGCATACCTTGAGTGCATAATTCGACAGCGGATAGTTCAGTAAGTCTATCTTTGCAATCAAGACTTAGAGCTCTCCATCGGTTGATATATTCGACAACCGGTTCGCCTTTTCTTTGTTCGGAGTTTGTGAGCTCCATCATGCTGACAGTTCTCTTCGTACTGTAAAAGCGATTTAGGAATTCTTTTTCAAGTTGTTCCCAACTCTCGATCGTTTCAGGCTCGAGATCAGTATACCAGTCAAAGGCGTTTCCCTTTAACGTTCTGACGAACTGCTTGACCAATTGATCGCCTCTTGTACCAGCATTCTCACAAGTTTCGACGAAGTGAGCAATATGTTGTTTGGGATTGCCCTTCCCATCGAAATGTTGGAATTTTGGAGGTTGGTATCCAGCAGGCATTCTCAGATCATTAATCCTCTTAGTATATGGCTTAGAATACAAGAGGGAGCTTTGAGAAGATCCGCCGTATTGCGCTCTGATCGTGTTCGTGATCATATCTTGGAGCTGCTGAACAGACAGCGAAGCGATCGAAGTGGAATATTGCGATTGATTTTCTTGAGCGATAGTCTTTCCCTT